GGGCTGGGCTCCGGGCGGCCAGGGGGGGGGGGGGGGGGGGAGAAGCACCGAGTAAGCTTAGCGGAGCCCCTCCTTCCTCGGCCCATTTGAACCCAGAGCCCAGTCCCTTGGAGCCGGCAGGGTGCCTGGGGAAGGCTGGAGCAGGCAGACGTCCCTTGTGAAGATGGGGGGTGACAGGGAGGGCTTTTTGAGGAGGACACGTTGGGGTGTAGCGTTTGGTGCTGTGCTAACGAGTTACTAGCGTTTGCTTAGTTAATCCACACCCTGCAAGGTCCGCACCATCCGCCTGAGGAGACGGCTCAGAGAGGAGAAGGACTGGCTCATACACACGGCTCGGAGGTGGTGGGGACAGGGGTAGAGCCCAGACCATCCCACAGGGCTCCTGGGGAGACACTTGCATGGCACGAGTGTCCCTGCCCAGCCAGCCAGCTCTGGGGAGGGAGGGGGTGTCCCTGTGAGCCCACGGTGGAGCAGGGGCGCCCTGGGGAGATGTCCGCGGCCCACGGAGTGGGGGTTGCTAGTAATGACTTCCGTGTCTCCTCAGAGTCCAGCGCCAGCCTCCCTGCCAGGCCTCCCGGACGCAGCAGCCCCGGGTGACCACGCCCTCTCCCAGCACCTCCAGCTCTTCACACGGAGCCTTCACACGGCGCCTGTCACCTTGCCCTCCATGACGTTTCCTCATGTCACCTGACCGCTCCTGCACCTGATTATAAAGCCCCGGGGAGCAGGCTTTGTGTGCCTGACCTCTGGGATGTACAAACGCGCACTCGAAGATGACTGTACGTGACAGTGTACACAGCATCATCAACCGTTTCCCACGGTGGGAGAGCGCGGGCCCAGCGTCAGAAGACTCGTGTTTGGCCTTGGTGGGCATGGCATGGCATGGTTTTTGGAGGCACAGCAGAGACGGACTCTTGAACTTGTTCTGCTTCAATTAGACAAGCTCATGCACATGCTGGGTGGGCGGGGTGGGGGTGGCCCGGAAGCACAGGGGCACCGAGGGAGGCTGCCTCAGTCTCCAAAATGTCCTTTGCCTCATTCACGCAGCCTCATGAGGAGCCGGCTGCGAGGGGGACCAGCTTCGGGGAGTTTCCATCAGGGAGGGGCTGGCTGCTGAAGGCCCCTGTGACCCCCGGGATAGAGCCCTAATTAACATCACAGCCGAGACCTGGTTTCTAGAAATGGCCACTGCCCGCTGAGAGCTTACAGCAGGAGTGGGGAGGAGGGGAAGGAGGCAGCTGCCTCTCTCCCCTTCCTGCTCTGTAGCCAGCTCCAGGCTCGGAGTATGAGATTGAAACGGGCATCCAGGAAGCCCCCTGCCACCCCCACCCGAGATCCCACCTCTCTGCTAAGGCAGCGGGGAGTGGACACACACTGGGCCTGGCTCCCAAGCCCTGCCCTGGGCCAGTCAGGGGCCAGCTCGTCCCAACAAGCAGTTGTGGAGTTCAGCCCACTGTGCCGAACCTCTGACCCCAGGCTTCACCTCTGTCGACTAGAATCATGCCTGCCCTGCCTACCTAATAGGGTTTTGAGAATCATGGACGTTAGGATTTCAGGGGTTAGACATGATCGACCCCATGAGGCCCAGAGAGGTTAAGTGACACGTCCAAGGTCACACAGCTAGTGGCAGCAGGAACAGGCCTTGTGGCGCTCCTGTTCCCTGTTTATTCTCTCATCACTGCATGTATCATGCTTTGTGTATTTGTGTACTTGTTGGCCACCCGCGTGGAAATTAAGCTCCTAGAGGTCAGGGGTCCCCTCGCACACTTTTCTGTTTCTCTGGCGCCTGGTACATACAGAAGGTGCTCAATAAATGTGTGTTGAACTAAACTGATCTTGGCTTCTAGTTCAAGTTCTCTTTCCTCTACACCAGGGGTGGGGAACATCCTGCCCTCGGCCGTACAAGACCCAAGAAATCCTTTGGTCTGGCCCTGCCCAGGCATTAGGGGTGAGTTAATTAAGTGTTTGACCACATACAGCAGGCTAATTTTTAAGTTGATAACTTTGTGTGGCCTGTGATGGATGTTATGAATATCCAAGTGGCCCTGGGCAGAAGAAAGGCTCCCCACCCCTGCTCTATGCCATGCTGTCTCTGGCCCTGGAACCTGCATTTCCCGTTCCAGGGCCACAAACTAGGAAAACTTTCAGATGTTTTTGAGAAAAAAATAAGCAAGATACTCACCCACCTTGTGACATCCATTCTGGACCATAGTCTAGAGCACAGGACCCATTTGAGTGAATACATACAATTCTAAGACAAAATTGGAATAACAATAAAATTAACACTAATTACTAGTAAGAACTTGTTAGGGCCAGACATTGTGCTATGCAGTTCACACACGAAGTGCTCGCTCACTTAGCACAGTGCCTGGTCCACAGTAGGTGCTTAATAAAAACCATATTCTCGGAGGCGGTCTCTCTCACCTGCACAGTGTGCTGCAGACTCTGACAGGGCTCCGAGACCTGCCTGCCACCTTGCCTGAGCAAGTCAGGATGCCTTCCTCCAAACCAACCAATCACGGTTAGGGGGTGGGAGGACCTGGAGAAGCGGGCATTGCTTCCCAAATGCTTCCACCTGGAAATGACTCGGACTCCTGAAACCTTTCCTTGATTAAAGGCAAAGCTTGAGCCCTGACCGGTTTGGCTCAGTGGATAGAGCGTCGGTCTGTGGACTGAAGGGTCCCGGGTTCGATTCTGGTCAAGGGCATGTACCTTGGTTGCGGGCACATCCCCAGTGGGGAGTGTGCGGGAGGCAGCTGAATCGATGTTTCTAACTCTCCGTCCCTCTCCCTCTCCCTTCCTCTCTGTAAAAAAATCAATAAAATTAAAAAAAAAAAAAAAAAGCTTGAACACCTAACTTCAGAAAGACCGAGAAATGCAATCCTTTCATGTGCCGGAAGGAAAAGATAGTGAAAAGTCTTGGTCCATATCAGGCCTCCCTGTGACATCGCCACCCACATTCTGTGGGCCCCTCTCCATTCAAAGCCCTGGATGGAGCCAAGTTGCTCCCATCGCTGACCTGCACTAGTCAGGGCTACAGGCTAGAAGACCTTTATTTTGTTAAACCTCTGCAATTGGGGCATTGTTCTAGACTAGAGCAAGCATGTCAAACTCAAAGGCTAACACGGGCCAAATAAACAAGGTTTAAGTTTATGTGGGCTGCAAAAAAACCAAAGGCTTCGATTTTCATAGAAACAGGTATATTTCGATAGAGACATGCTGAATACAAAGGGCTGAAATAAATGAGTAATCGTTAACATAAAATAGAACATTTTAATAAAAATATTTTTTTCTTGAACATTAACTTACCAGACACTATAACTGCACAAATTAATAAGTGTTACGCAAATAAACCTATTTTTCTTGGTCTCCGAAAGCAAAATATTTCCTGTTGCACACACCAAACAAGTCAGTACAAGACTAATGACGTGGCAATTGGCTGCTAAAATACTCGCTGTTAGTATTAGTGAAGAGAAATGGTAAGGGAAATGAATGCAACACGATTATAGTAATCAGTCATTAGCAAATGTTGTAGTTCATTATTAATAATTATGTATAACAGGATATTGTAAAAATTAAGTTATGTAATTTTTATTAAAACGTTTTACATACCGTTATATTGGCTGGGCCACAAAAATATTCATTGTGGGCTGCATGCGGCCCATGGGCCGCGAGTTTGACATGCTTGTTCTAGAAACTAGCATACTCTGATACCCTACTCAACCTACATGAGAGCTAAAGATATCATTGAAAGATGTATCTCTTGCTCTTTGTGGTTTTATCCAGCATGGCTTTGCTAGGGGACAGCCACCTGGGCTTCTGCCATGTGGTGGCCCCACCGCTCTCTGGGCTCTGAGTCCTTCAGACCTTCCACATCTGGCTAGAAATGGAGGGACACGCGTGTGGATAAGTGACTGAGAGCTTTTTTAGGGGTCAGTTCTGGCCATAATTATCTGCAAAGAAATCCAGGAAATATAAACCTCTGTGTCCAGAAGAAAGGACTGGGGAAGGTCCAGACAGTCTTCCCGCATTTCACAGATAAGAAAGCTGAGGCGTGAGAGGTTAAGTGATTTCCCAGCTCAGTTCCTGGGACTGAACCAGAATATCCTGCCTTCACAGCCCACTCGCATTCCCTGGCCATTGAACTGCCTTCCCTCCTAGGCTTCACTCGCTCAGCACAGCCTCTCCCGCTCAGAAGGGCCTCCTCCAAGCATCCTCTTTTCCCTCTGGTCCTGGCCCTTTATCTTCCGATGGGAAAATTGTTCTCTTCCAAGCTGCCCATCCACGGGCTTAGTCTGCAATGGACGGAGATTCTCAGAGAGCCAGTGCAATGAAATGTAGGAAGACACTGACACAGGCTGTAAAAGACATGAAAGCAGACGTGCAGTGGTTTCTCTCCAAGCTGCCTGTGGCCCAGAGTCGTTTAGAAGTGCAGCTGATGGCGGTGTCTCAGTAGGAGGGACTAGATCCCTCCTACAGATCAGCATCTAACAATGGAATTAGATCCTCTCACGTTCGAGGTCTGTCTCTTCCCTACGGAGTGAGGATTAGGGGTGTTGCTGGACCCTGCCATGTCCCACCCTCACGCAGAGTAGCCAGTGTAAGGGAAGCTGAGGCGGAAGTCAGTCTCTTCAGAGGACATTGACAGGGCCTGGGGAGCGTGGTGATGCAGGACCTCGTCCCTCGAAGGCAGAAGCCCCTGGGCAGAGTCCCAAGCTGGCTGCCGGGCAGGGAGAGCATCATCCAATTGCTGGGGGTGGGAGGGACCCTCCTCCGGGCTCCTGGCTCAGCCGGGAAATAGGCCTTGTTATGGACCTAGGAGTCTGCTTCCTGCTCTTCACTTGGAGAGTAACTTGGACAACCTAAGCCTTGCCACCCAGAACCAGCTATGCCCAAGGGAGCACATTGGAGGCAGTGAGTTTCTCACTTTAGATTAAAAAAAATTTTTTTTAAAAATTGATTTCAGAGAGGAAGGGAGAGGGAAAGAGAAACATCATTGATGAGAGAGAATCATTGATTGGCTGCCTCCTGCACGCCCCCTACTGGGGTTGGAGCCAGCAACCCAGCATGTGCCCTGATCGGGAACCGAATCCTCCTGGTTCATAGGTTGACGCTCAACCACTGAGCCACGCCGGCTGGGCTCACTTTAGATTTAAATCAGTTTCCAAAGTCCTGCTGGCGAGACCCTTCCGCACAGCTGCCCTGCATTCCCCGGCGTCCTCTCATCTCTCCACGCCTGTGGCCGTGACTCCTGGACACATTCACAGTGTAAAAAGCAGTTTGATAGAAGAGTTTTGTCCAAGTCTTTTGCCTGGATTTTTATGGAACTTGGATTGGCTCAACCGGATTTAACCCACGTTCGAATACTGTGTTTTGGGTTCCATTGGTCTCACCTGAATTCTAGGAGACACAGAATGTGGAGTGGAAACGAGGGTTGATTGGGGCATGAAAATGGGCTGAGTGGTTTGTCCACTTATCCAAATGTTTACTGACCACCGCTCTGCCTGGCGTTGCAAGGGACGCCCTAGAAAGAGGTGAGAGATCCTTCCCGGGAGGGTTTTGTGGTTTTGGGGGAAGGAAATCAGCAAAGAAGCCTGACAGTGCGGTAAAATGGCAATTATACAGGGGCGGGGGGGGGGGCTGGGAATGTAGACAAAAAGCACCTACCTCATCAGGAGCCTGAGGGCAACCTTCCCGGAGATGAGCAGCTGGTTCTCGAAGGGCATGGGGTCCAAAGCAGGGAGAGGAGGCTAGACAAGAGCGCACTCGGGTGCGAGGGGCGAGGTGGGCTCAGGGCCTTCCTCCCCAGGCTGAGGGAGAGACCTGCGCGCCAGGCAGCCTTGTGGGAGGGCGGGGCTGAGGGAGCCGCGTGGCCACCTGGATTCTTCTGATTCCTCCACTGAGTGCCGGGTGGGGGCTTGGAGAGTGGGCGGCTCCGTTAGCCAGGAGGGAGCTGGGAGCACCTGGCAGGCTGACCAGGTGCGCAGGGTTGGAGGCCTTCCCAGAAGCTCTGGGAGCCTGGGTGTAGGAGCAGAGAGGTAGATGGCTGACTCTGTCCACAGCAAGTGGGTGCAACAGGGAGCTGCGGGTCCAGGTGAGAAGGTGGGTGGGCCTCATGTGAGCCCAGGAGGCACAGAGATGGGGGCCAGGAGCCTGGCAGTCCTGCGGGCCCAGAACACTGGCAATAGAGGTCATGATGGCTGTCAGTGAGGAGCCCTCGTGCGTTCCTGGTGGGGATGTAAGATGGTGCAGCAGCTGTGGCAAAGTTAAGACTCACCATACAACCCAGCGACTGCACTCCTAGGTGTGTATCCAAAAGAATGGAGAGCGAGACTAGGTGCGTGCATGCTAGTGCTCACGGCAGCACTGTTTGCAAAACAGTGGGAACAACTCACTTATCCGTCAACAGATGAACAGATAAACAAAACGTGGTGCACACAGTGCAACGTTACTCAGTCTCACAAGGACATTCTGATACATGATGGACGCTGAAAGCATTGTTAAGTGAAACAAACGAGAAGAAGGGCAAAGAGTGTATGCGTCCACTTACGTGACGTAGCCGGAATAGGCAAATCCAGAGGCGGAAAGTGGAAAGGTGTTTGCCAAGGGCTGGGGAGGGGGAGTTGTTCTTTAAGGGGTTCAGAGCTTCTGTTTGGGATGATGAAAGTTCTAGAAATACATAGTGGTGATGCATGTACTAATGCCACCAACTGTACACTTTAAAGTGGTAAATTTGGTGTTATGTATATTTCACCATGAACATGCTGGAATGATGAGAAGCCACGTTGGAGGCGGAGGAGGAGTTGCTTGTGCTTCCCGAGGTGGCCAGGAGGG